GCGCCAGCGGGCCTCTCGCCGTCACTGTCGTCGTCCGACCGGCCACCACCTCGACCGCCGCCGCCACGACCGCAGGACTTGCCGGAAGTTTTCCTCTCAGGGCGGTCATCGGAATCATCCACGTCATCATGATGTTTTGTTCGATTGGAAGTTTCTTTGTCATCATCTTTATCTTTGGAACTAAGAAATTCTTTTCCTTTAGCAAAAAGGGCATCCATAATTTTTTTTTTGTTTTAGATAATTAATAAGAAAATTAGTATAGTAATATTACAAATTGAAGCAAATAAATGTGATTCAAATGAAAAAAAATGATAAATGTGAAAATTTATATGAAAGCTTTCGAGATTTTTACTGAAAAAATGAGAAGTTACACAAAAGTTTCGTAATTTTATGGGTGTAGAGTAAAACTTATACAAGTGAACAACGATTATTTTCCGCATAACACTAAGGTCCCTTCCTCAAATTAAAAGAATAAAAAATAGATTATCTCACAATTAATATTAATTAGCACATTGAAATGTTGTCAACAAGTTCTCTTTATTTCTTTCTTAAATTCTATGGTAAGTCAAATTATACTTTTTTGATTTCTCATTTAGTGTTTGATATCCATATTTAAATTTGTGTTGAAAAAATCTTACGTAGTCAAATTATATCACGTAAATTATGACGTAAGAAGTAATTCAAGGTTAGAAGTGTATAAAAATAGACCAAGAAAAAAAGGAAAATGGAAAGTTTAATTGAAGGGCTAATATAGAAAGAACGTGTTTAAGTTGCTGCCTAACACTTCCTATAAATAAACCGACAGTATTTTTATGGAAAGCTTTCCAAAGATATAATGATTCTTGTCAAGGCTAGCTTTTGCTTCTGTTATTATTTTAGATTTAAAATTAGATTTAGCACAGATAGAGAATATAAAGTTTCTACTAAATTTATAATTTTATTCCCTTTTTAAGACAAAGAAGATGGGATAAATATTTAAGATGTAATTTAAACAAGTTCAAATATGTTGTGTAAATTAATAATCGATTCGTAAACACATTCAACTCAATTATAATATATATAAGATAGAGATAAGATATAAAGTGATCATTAGATCGATTTTGTCGTATGAGATAAAGTGATGATCAGTTAAAAAAATAAAAATATTGAGATGGATATGTAGATATATATACTAAAAGCAATTTAGAAATGAAGATATTCGAAGGTCTTGAAATTGTTATGTTTGATATCACTTTCTTGTTGTTATAATATTTTGTGAGTCGAAGATTTGTCGAAAATAATTAACTTTGTTCTTTTCGCAAAAGCAAAGAAGATATCACTAATAAATTCAAACAAACACAAATTTCACGGTAAAATCACACTTAAATACACACAATTTACATATTTTATTACATAAATCCAACTCCGGCGCCGGCGCCGGCGGTGGACAGTGGGAAATTAAGGGGAAAAAAACTGAAATATAACATCAGCCATAATTAAAAGCATAGACCATAATTAAAAAAAGTTAATTAGACTCTAATTACTTCTTGCCTAAGAAATCACCAGCCATCTTAAGATAATCAGCTCCTCCACTCTTTTTTTCCTCCTCCTTATCTTCTTCAACAACCGGCGCCGGTGCTGGTTCCGATGCCGGAGCCGATTCCGGTGCAGGAGCGGGTGCTTTTGCTTTTGCTTCTTCAGCAACCGGAGCGGCGGCCGGAGCCCTATCACCACCCGAC